ATGTTGGGCGAGGGGGTGATGACAACTTCCTCAGTGGCTCAAGGGGGCGATTCGTTCAAAAAGGTTGAGAACCACTGATGTAGAGCAGTGTTTCCCAAACTTGACAATTTTAAGGCATGAGGACTTCAACTCCCAGAATTCCACAGCCAGCAACGCTGGCTGTGGAATTCTGGGAGTTGAAGTCCACATGCCTTAAAATTGTCAAGTTTGGGAAACACTGATGTAGAGGATCAGGAGAAGGAGAGTTCTGGTCAGGGTAAAGAGGGTGAGGTTGGAAGCTGACTCAACCTTAAGTCTGTAGCCTAAAAGCTTGTTATGAGGGGCTGGGTATGGCGCTCTTCTCCATCTGAAGACAGTTCTTCTGACAGGACCCTCACACACACCACTATTATCAGGTAGCTCCAGCTCAGCAGCTTTTATGGAGGAATCGATAATACGGGGTTCTCTGGCTTTTAGAAAGGCAATGAAGACCATATATTTTAATTGTGCCTTTGGGACGGCTGCTTTCTGCAGTTTTTCATTTTTGCGATGGTGGACGTAATGTTCATTTTCATTGCTATTTTTATTGCTACGGTACTGTTGTACTATTCGAAGCATGTAGGGCTCAATGAGGCAGTAGGATAGAAATTGGTGTAGTGAATAGAAATAGAAAGAAATAATAGAAATAGAAATAAATAGAAATAATAGAAATAGAGCTGGAAGAGACCTAGGAGGTCTTCTAGTCCAGCCCCCTGCTCAAGCAGGAGAACCTAAACCATTTCAGACAAGTGACTGTCTAGTCTCTTCTTAAAAACCTCCAGTGATGGAGCGCCCACGATTTCTGGAGGCATTTCTGGTTAATTGTCCTCACTGTTAGGAACTTTCTCCTTAATTCCAGGTTGCTTCTCTCTTTGATCAGTTTCCAACCATTATTTCTTGTCCTGCCCTCTGGTGGTTTGGAGAATAATTTGACCCCTTCTTTGTGGCAGCCCCTCAAATATGGGAACACTGCTATCATGTCACCCCTATTTCTTCTTTTCTTTAGTCTAGCCAAACCCAAGTCCTGCAGCTGTTCTTCATATGTTTTAGACTCCAGGCCTTTGATCATCTTAGTTGCTCTTCTCTGAACTTTTTCCAAGATCTCAACATCTTTTTTGTAGTATGGTGACCAAAACTGGTTGCAGTGTTCCAGGTGTGGTCTTACTAGGTTTTTATAAAGCAGTACTAATCCTTTGTGTGATCTTGATTCTATGCCTCTGTCTATATGACCCAGGACTATATTGCCTTTTTTGGCTGCTGCTGCACATTGCTGGCTCATAGTCAAGTGATCGTCCATAAATAAAGGAGACTTGTATATGCTGTATGTATTGTTACTGTACTTGTAAAGATACGTTTAGTCCAACCTCCTGTTTAGAACAGGTTCTACAGCGGTGTTTCTCAACCTTGACAACATTCAAATGTATGGATTTCAATTGCAACCTTGCACCAAATCGGAGAAAGGGGCCATTGGCTCTTTAAAGACAGTAAAGATGGAACTGGGGAATTACTTCACCTTTAAACTGACATCGATCTTAATCCAGCCCAGCAGTGGGAGCTCTCCAGGGTCCTGACCCAACCACCTTCTACCAGACTCTGCTTTGTTTGTAATGCTTTTTGTCTATGGAGATTCTCAATCATCTAGGTCAGGGGTGTCAAACTCAATTTCACTGAGGGCCACATCAGCATTGCGGTTGCCCTCAGGGGGCCGGGTAGGTGTGGCCAGGGTGGGCGTGGCCTACTGGGTGGGCGTGGCCAGCTCTACATCGTTCACGTCAAGGGTGCCTGTGGGGGCCTGGGCAGGAGTGGGACAGATCTGAGGGTCTCTGGCAGAAGGGGGTGGGACCAGGGCAAGTGCCAAGGCATAGTCCACTGGAGAAGCCTCACTGTTCCTCTCAGGCCAAGGCAGTGGGGGCCATTCCCTCACTGTTTCCATGATGGCTGTGTGGACCATATGAAACCACTTTGCGGGCCGCATCTGGCCCCCGGGCCTTGTGTTTGACATGTCTGATCTAGGTCATGGTTGTTCCAGAGTTGCTTTTTCCCCCCAAAAGGGAATTGGACTTTCTTGGTTTTCCCCCCCCCCTTTTGAAAACAGAACTGAAGAAGCTTCTTGGATGAAAAGTGAAACCTTTTCAAAGGAAAAAAATCAAGAAAGTCCAGTTGCTTTTTGAAAAAAAAGGCACCTTTGGGACTAGATTTTTTTTTTTTAATTAATCCATCATTGGCTATCTTGAAGTTCTGTGTTAGGAAGGAGACTTACCTTTTTCAAGTAACACAGAGTTGTTTTGCACCAGACACAACGCTGCAGACCCAATGACAGCTGCAATCGTGGTGCATTTTCTTCCTAACACAGCACATTTCCCTGTGCCAAGAACACTCCCCTTGTCCTGTTGAAAAAGAGCTGGCAGTGTCCCTTTTCCATTTGTTCTTGGGTAGCCAAAGTTCTGTAGCTCAGCATGGATGGCGTTTGACTGTAGATCTGAAGAGTCCCGGTTGTGATCCCAGGCTTTGCAAGAAATTGTGCATGGACTTGGTTTGCCAAGGCATTCTCTCTCTCCTTAGATTCAAATGCATTTATTTATCTATTTCATATCCCTCCTTATTTATTTTTATAAATAACTCAAAAGTGGTGAACTCTTGAATTACTCTTTCTATGTTCCCCACAACAACCCACCCTGTGAGGTGGGTTGGGCTGAGAAAGAGGGACTGATCCAAAGTCACCCAGCTACCTTTCATGCCTAAGGGAGACTAGAACTCACAGTCTCCTGGTTTCTAGCCTGGTGCCAGGAGAAATAATAATAAACTCAGTATGCATGATAGCCAACATCTAAAGAACTGGCAGCTATGATTTTACAATGCTGTGTATATAATAATAACAATAGTAATAGTAATAATAAGTCATAATCATAATCATATAATACACTTTATTAATCAGAAAAAAATGCTGTCAGACTCTTCCTGAATTTTTGAAATCACAAATTAACAAAGCTCTCCTATAATATAGGCATCGTTATTGCTGACATTGTTGTTATTATAGTGTGGGAGATGAAAATGTAGCCTCCTTCTCATATAAGGCTAGAATAAAACCTGAAATAGGCCCCACAGAAGTGATTTAAAGCTTTCACTTGAACTTTATGCTGTTTCCCAATAAGGACATACTATTTGTAATCTGCTGAGCTTTGAGCAATATAAATTGCAAAGTTGGTAGTTCTACATATATCTGACAAAGAGGGGAAGAGAGCTGGTGGCCCGGTGGTTAATACAACTGCCTAGCATGTAGGCTACCTAGGCTCAAATCCCATAAAGAGTATGGCTAGCTGATGAGGGCTAATGAGCCCGAAATAGCTATACTAGTCTCCCACTTAATTATTTAACTTTTTGTCAGCAAAAAGAAATCTGAATATATATATATATATATATATATATATATATATATATATATATATATACACACACATACATACATGCATACATACATACATACATACATATATATTTGGAACATAAGTATTTTACCTATGAGAAAAGAAGAAGTGAAAATAGCAAATGTATAGAACACAAGTCGGCAACCTGCGGCTCCGGAGCCGCATGTGGCTCTTTGAGCCTCCCCCTATGGCTCCCAGCCTCCTCTGCCATTTGCAGAGAGACAGAGGCTCTCTCTCTCTCTCTCTCTCGTGTGTGTGTGTAAAAAAGAGTGGACTCACAGTATTCTCCAACGAGCTGAAAAGCTTATTTGGGCGGAGCTCCTCCTTTTGCTGCATCTCTGCAGGAAGCAGGAAGGGCAGGAGAGAGCTAGCTAGCCCAGCTCTGCTGACTCAGAAATTCTGGGAGTCCATGAGTTATAAAAGAGCTGAAGTTGCCTATTCCTGAGCTTGTTGGAGAACAGCTTGAAGCCAGCTTGCCAGGTGAGCAGAAGATGGGAGAGAGGGGAGGAAAGAAAGAGAGGGAGAGAGAGAGAAAGAAAGGGGGAAAGGAGAGAAAGAGGGAGAGGGAAAGAGAGAGAGGAAAAGGAAAGAGAGAGAAAAAGAAAGAAAAAGAGAAAGAGGGAGAGAGAGGGAGGGAGGGAGGGAGGGAGGGAAAGAGCCAGAGACCCTTTTGACATCTAAAATGAAGATAACACTGCATATATCCTTTTTTACCTTTATTATAAGTGTGTGTATTACACGCACACACACACTAAAGGTAAAAAAGGATATATGCAGTGTTACCTTCATTTTAGATATCAAAAGGGTTTTGCGGCTCCCAGTGTTTTGTTTTCAGTGGGAAACGGGTCCAAGTGGCTCTTTCAGTGTTTTAGGTTGCCTACCCCTGGTATAGAAGTTTCAGATGGGAACCATCTTTGCAAAGTAAGAATTATGAGTGTGTGGTCGGTAGCAGAAAAGTATAAAAATGTTGGTTTAAGTCTGGTTCGGGGCCATTGGTCTATAGCTGTCTTTTGGAATTTGCTATACCATATGGTCCTCATTGCAATGGGTTGTTAATGTAACTGATGTTATTATGCTATGTTTCAAATTATTAGAGAATAAACCTCTGAATCTTAAAGTAAGAATTGTTTTGTGTTGCTATCTCTTGTCTTTTCCATTGGGTTTTCCCACAATAGTAATAGTAACGATGACATCATTGCTATTATAGTTATAGTAAGGATGACATCATTATTACTCTAGTGGTTAACAATATTTTTATAGCCATAATTATTATTGTGGTTTATTGCAGCCAGCTGGATGTTCAGATTGAATTTGGCATTTTTATCCACCTATCAAGCCCTTCCCAAGGACCTTGGAGAGGCAGATGTTGTTTTTGATGGCAATAAAGGAACAGCGGTCTGTAAACTGTTGCAAATAAACCTGCCTTTTTCAATTTATTATTATTGCCCTTGTAGAAATATTAATAGCTTTAATTATTACAGCCATAATTGTTACTAACATTGGTGTATTATCATAGTGATATTAATTGCATTCATTATTATAGCCATAACAATTAGATATCAGTCATAGTATAGTTTATTACAATCCTATAATTCTTCAGATTACAATGATACTTTACAAAACGTTGACCTAATACTTGCAAAAGTGTTGTAGTTCACAATGAAGTTGTATGTCTGCAGAGTGACAATGGGTGGAGGAAAGTCTATAAACCCTTAATTTAATGTATTTGATTTAAGTGCTGCCCAACACCAGCAACAAAGCAAGGCTCAATGGGAGACCTAACAAAATGAAATCAACCTGCTTTAGAGAGGAAATAAATCAAGACTGAGGTGAGATCCCTGGAGGAACTTCTTGAGAGTACAAGCCATTAGCCAGTGGAACAGGTTGACCCATGATATTTATTAATTTTGTACCCCACCTTATATAAATTAGTCAAGGTATCAAAAGTACCTCATACTCCTTTCTCCTGCTATTTTCCGCAAAACAACAAGATGGTGCTTCACTTGCTTGCGTGCCTCGGTTTCTGGTATGCTGTGGACCGGTGCCAGTCCATAGACTGGAGGTTGGGAACCCCTGGTTTAAGTCTATGGATTGGTGTTGGAACCTCAGCGTTAGTTTTACATTGACATAACCATACAGTGTATCCAATAAACAGTAAACTTCTCAGGAATGGGATGAAACTGGAGTTTTATTTGGATTCTCAAGCTGGATGTTGACAAAATCTTGCTAGACTATAAGAAACATGCTTGGAAAAGATGCCAAAGAATCTGGCAGTCTATCCTATTTACAGTATATCTGTTAAGTATGTGAACCTGTTCCCTGATCAGGTATACTCAGAGTTGCAGCACTGGAAGGGGCTATTCGGGCCCTGAAATCCAATCTGTGCAAAAAAATGCAGATTAAAGCATCCCCGAGAGATAACTATCGTGCAAAAAATGCAGATTAAAGCGCTCCCAAGAGATAACTATCCAGCCTCTGATTAGATATATCCAGTGAAGGGGATCCAATCACTATGCTGGTTCACAGGTTCTACTGATCCCTGATATTGTCATCCCATTTAGTCTGCTTATGTAGCTCTGTTGTATCATTATGCTGTTTCTGACTATAGCCGCAATAATTCTTCAGGCTGAAATGTTGACGCATTAGAATGTCAGTGAAAAATGATACCAACTATATACAATTGGTCATTCTATCATGTGTACATTACTAAAACTCTCCCATTTATCTTTGTGTAACCTTTAACTGGGCAAAACGGTATCTTGTAGGGCAACAGTTTTTGAATCAAAGTACTTCAACTTATAGAAGGTGTCCAACATCTGGGACCGATAACTCCCATGAAATTGAAATTTGGCAAATTTTATAAAACGTATGGTGCAAAAACGATCATAAAACACGCAGGCAGGCAGTCGCCCGCCACTTCCGTAGCCCACTTCCGAAAAGCTCAAGGCTGGGGGGGTTGGGGACCCCTGGTGTAATCAACATTAAACCCCTCAGTGACATAGAAATAGACGTTTCAAAGCAGACTAAGAGTGGATTTGACATCCAGTCTGATCTCTGTCAAAACCTTCCACGATTTCAACACTTAATTTTTTTAAAAAAGGGGGAGGGGTTGCTTAAGGAAGAAAAAAAATAGTTTTTTCCAATGTTACGAAACCTCCAGGTTGCCTTCCCAGCCCTTTATACTGAAAAAGGAGGCAACTAGGTCAAGGAGAGTCTCTCAAATTTGGAAAAAAATTATATGGTTTCTGCTTCCAGGTGCATTGAGATTAAACTGGTGGCAGTTTGAAAAAGTCTGAACAAGGACTCATTGCATCTCATCCACCTATGATCCGAACAAGTATCTGCAAACTGACTGAACCTCTGTGATTTGCACTCAATACAGATCATTTAACCTGCCGGAGAATAACACTAACGCTGCCAAGGCACGTGTCAAATCTTACAGTACATTCACACTGTGCATCAGTCAAAATCTCAAATGGAACAGGCGACTTGGAGCAGCACACTTGCGCTGCCCCCTATTAGTACATCCTTAAGCCAGGGGTCTTTTTCTAGGAGAGACATTGTCAACGCTGCTAATATTGAATATTCTTGCTTTGACAAATTATGCTGAATTGTCTGGTACTTTTAGAGTTAATTCAGAGGAGAATGAGGGAGGAGAGAAAAGCCCGGGAAAGAGGACGGAAGAGAACCTTTGCCCTTCAAACTAACTGGAGAATGTAAATCATGACAGCCGAATAAGGGAGGGGAAATGCTAGCAAAAATAACTGCTTGGTGGATGGAAATTTCAGATCTTAGCACCTCTTTTATCATGCCGTGCCAACATTTTGTCACATGAATAAAAAAGACTTTTTAGGATAAGATGCCTGGAGGTTCTTTGAAGTGTTTCATTAGTCGGAACCATGACAGACATAAGAGACAGGGAAAGACTCAGCCTTTAAAGAGATACAGACAACGGTATCACTCCTACCTGGACAGGCTCTGAATTTTCTCGTTCATTTGCAATCCAGGCATCTATACAGCCTTACTGTCCAAAGCTAAGCTATTGTGCTCCCTTCGGCATACCCTAAAATGGGCAAGTCAAACTCGTGTCGCGCGATGTGTGGCAATTTTCCCCCCATTGCTGGCAATGGGGTGGGCTCACCCACTCCATTGGCTGGCAGTTTGACACACCTGCCTTAAAAGGCTTGGTAAACCTGCAGATAGGCCCAACGCATTTCCAGGGGAAGCTTCCTTCCAGGCAGAACCTTTCTCCCTATTCTTGGCACTTGTTCCAAGCCAAGAGGCCTAACAAGTCACTTTGTGGGATCCTTCGGAAGTGCCCTCCATTGATCATTTTCCTCCTCCTCCTGCCTCTCTCCTAGTTTAATGTTTGGATTTTGCTGAAACTGAAACAGGAGAGTTTTCCTCAAGGTCGACACCTCCTTGCCCATAACTTTACCACAGATTTGTTTCCAAAGAAGATCTGGTGTTCCTGTACTCCAGCCAAGAGGCCCGTTTGGTCAAAGACAGCATCATATATATCCAATGTAAGTTTTCTAGACCTCTAACTGCCAGCCTGGCTTTTCTCTTGCGAATATCCCATTACTAGGTTTAAAGGCTGAGTGGCGAGGGGGACCTCTGACCCCTTTGGCGCGATCACCCGATTCTTCCTGCCCTGCCCCGATTTCTTCATACACAGCAAGGTGCAGTTCCCCAACACAATGTACCCCACGGCTGGAGTGTTCAAGGGGTTCCCTTTCCGGCAGGTTTCTCTCTCGTGCTGAACCAGGGAGGCCCGGCGTCGGTAGCTTTTCCCGCAGTCTTTGCAACTGTAGGGCCTCTCCCCGGTGTGCACCCTTTTGTGCTGGCTGAGGTTCGAGCTGTTGCTGAAGCTCTTCCCACAGTCTGTGCATTTGTGAGGCCTCTCGCCCGTGTGGATTTTGAGATGCCGGCTGAGCTGGGATTGGCAGGGCCACCGCTTGCCGCAGTAGGAACACTCGTAGGATGGGGCCTTGGCTGGCTGAGCGAAGTCAACACACGGGCTGCTCTTTTTCACACATTTGGTGGCCGTCTTTTGGGATAGGTACTCAGGGACCCTCTTCCGGTTGGGGCTTCTGTCTGAATCGTCTTCCTTGCAAACCACATTTCTTCTTGGCCTCTTCCTGGCTGAGTTTCCATGGGTGTGTCTTAGTCTCTCTTGACCTCCTGGCCTTCCTTCTACTTCAGGTACCTGGAGAAGTGTCTCTCTGCCTCTTTCTGAGGAGATGTCACTGAATTCAGCCATCTGGGCACTTTCCTGATTCAGCTCCTCATCCTCACATCCTGAAGCAAAGCAAGGATCTGGGTTAGCCTGTCCTCGTCGGTCTTTTGTGGATATCCTCCTGAATTCTCCACGCTCCATTCTCTCTGGGTGATGACGGCAGCTCCTTTCTCCATCACCTGCCCAAAGAGAATCACAAACTCAAGTCTAAAACATTGGCATTGAACTGGAGAAAATCTGAGAACTTTCCTAAAACAACAGAGGAGTTGACGGAATCAGGTAGGATGCGGATGAATAAGAGATGAGTTTAACACCTTTATTTACATTAGGTCAGCAGTTCTCAACCTATGGGTCGTGACCCCATTTGGGGTTGATCGACCATTTCACGGGGGTCGCCAAGCAAAGCTGTCTGCCATTTTTTTCCCCTTTTCCGGCGGGTGCCTTACCTCCCTTGGGCTGGGCCAGCTGGTGGCCCAGCCGGTGGTTGGCCTGCTCTGTCTCTGCCGCTTGCCAGCTACGCCTCGGCCGGCGCAAGGGGCGGCACCACGCATGCGCGGGGCTCCCGGGCAGGGAAAGTCCTCGACTTACGACCGGTTGGGTAGTGCTTCACTTACGACCGGTTTAGTCCTCGACTTACGACCGGTTTAGTCCTCGACTTACGACCGGTTGGGGGTCGCGGCATTAAAAAGGTTGAGAACCACTGCATTAGGTGAACTAATTCTAGCACACGGAGGGTGTAACCAAGTTTGGGTAATGAAACATCTGCAAGAAAGCAACCAAGTTCAGAGAGCACCAAGGGCCTCTCATTTCAACCCTGAGTTACAAATATTTTTCCGTTATTGCAGCTAATGATTGCACAACTAAATTGACAGAATTATACAAGTCTGAAAGTACAAATCTTCCGACGTCTCCTTTCCAGTCCAAGAAATTAGGGAGATTCCTTCGTGAGCCTTTTTCTCCACCCAGCTGAGGGCTATGCCTTCTCTTATCTGACCATTCCCTAGGCCAGGGGTAGGCCACCTTGGCTCTTTTATGACTCGTGGACTTCAACTCCCAGAATTCCTGAGCCAGCCGTGCTGAGGGGAAAGAGAGAGGTTTCCAAGCTAAGCCATGCTGGCTCAGGAATTCTGGGAATTGAAGTCCACGAGTCATAAAAGAGCCAAGGTTGCCTAGCCCTGGTCTAAGGGCTATTCTAAGTGTTATTTATATAGCCTAGGGCAGGTGTAAGCCATCTTGGCTCTTTTATGACTCGTGGACTTCAACTCCCAGAATTCCTGAGCCAGCCGTGCTGAGGGGAAAGAGAGAGGTTTCCAAGCTAAGCCATGCTGGCTCAGGAATTCTGGGAATTGAAGTCCACGAGTCATAAAAGAGCCAAGATTGCCTACCTCTGGTCTAGACAGTGTCTATGGGCCCCGTCTCCCACAGTTTTTCCCATACCATTAGCACATGAAAAGTGACTCAGCAATCCCAAACTGAGAATTTAACAGGAAAGATTTTCTTTCTGCATGAGGCTGCCATAGCATAGTGGCAGAATATGCCCTTTGTGAGCTGGCTGAGGAATTCTGGGTGTTGAGGTCCACAAGTCATAAAAGGGTCAGGTTTGAAGATGTCTGGTTTAAACCATTTGTGGTCAAGTTCAGCCCTTCCTTCCAACAACACTTACTGAATAAGGGAGGGTCATCATCGCTATCAGGCTCAACCTCCGTGGAGTTCCCTGGGTCCTCTGTATCTGATGGATCCAATTCTGCCTTGGGGGAATTAACAATCACCTTTTCATACGGCTCCAGTTCCTGCAAAGCAAATCAGGGACACAATCCAAATCAGTATGACAGGGTTGAGGAACCACAGAAATAAAATGTCAGATTGCACTGGGTTGCCCAGAAATGATGAACATGAGCCGAGCATGGAAAAGCAAGGACATCAAATATAGGTTGGTTCACTCTACTGTGTTTCCGGTGGCTACCTATGATTGTGAAAAAGCAAGGCAGAAAAAAAATGGAATTGTTTGATCTGTGGGGCTAGAGAAGGCTCCTGCACATTCCTTGGAAAGCAAAGGTGACTAACAAGCGAGCACTGGAGTGCCCAACACCAGGACATGTCACCAGAAGGCGAAAATCACGAAACTGCATCTCACAGAGGTATAGAATCAAGCTCACGTGAAGTGTTAATGCCACTTTACAATGTCTTGGTAAGGCCAAACTTGGAATCCTGCATCCAGTTTTGGTCACCACGATGTAAAAAAGATGTTGAGTCTCCAGAAAGAGTACAGAGAAGAGCAACAAAGATGATTAGGGGACTGGAGGCTAAAACCTGTAAGGAATGGTTGCTAGAATTGGGTATGTCTAGTTTAACGAAGAGAAGGACAAGGGGGGACATGATAGCAGTATTCCAATATCTCAGGGGCTGCCATAAAGAAGAGGGAATTAAGCTATTTTCCAAAGCACCTGAAGGCAGGACAAGAAGCAACGGGTGGAAACTAATCAAGGAGAGAAGCAACCTAGAACTAAGGAGAAACTTCCTGACAGTGAGAACAATTAATCAGTGGAACAGCCTGCCTCTAGAAGCAGTAAATGCTCCAACACTGGAAGTTTTTAAGAAGAGACTGGACAGCCACTTGTCCGAAATGGTGTAGGGTTTTCTGCCCGAGCAGGGGGTTGGACTAGATGACCTCCAAGGTCCCTTCCAACTTTACTATTATTACTATTTCCAGTTTTCGGCAAAACTGTCCTGTAGCAAAAAATGGGTTCCTTTTACGACTGCCGCAAAAAATGTTTTATGACTGTTACAACTTACAACTGGTAACGGGCAGGCTCCATTAAAGCTGTAATTTGAGGAATACCTTTACACCCCAGTCAAGATTTCCAGAATTTGGCTAGGAAAAGCTCTTACCTGCTGTCTTCTCTGTAAATTCAGGAGGAAATCTTCGGCCAGGGTGACAGCCTGGGCGCAGGTCTGCGGTCTGCCTTCTCTTACCCAACTTTTTACATCCTCGGGCAGGATGGTGAGAAACTGCTCCAGGACCACCAGCTCCAAAATCTGCTCCTTGCTATGCCTCTCCGGCTTCAACCACTGGTGACAAAGTCTCCAAAGCTGCTCGCAAACATTTCTGGGCCCTTCAGCCTCCCGGTAGCAGAACTGACGGAAATGCTGGCTCTGTTCTTCTAAGCTCTCCGTGTCCTCCCCCCAAATCTCTTCCTTCACTTGCACAGAAGAATCTGGGTCTTTCTCACAAGTCCTGCACAAGGTCTTCTGGCTGAACGCCTCTTCTCTAGACAGTAGACTGGTCTCTGCTATCCCCTTCAAGGGGGGGAAAGAAGCTTGAAGTTCTCTAGGACTCTCCTCCAACAGAGGCCGAGCCAGCTGTGGACATCTTTCTGAGAAATAAGGCACCTGCATGGTCTTCAGGAATTTCTGCCACTGGGTTTCCCAGCGCTGTTGCAGTTCATCTTCCGGTTCCTGCTTGATTGGCTTCAAAAGCTTTTGAAAATGAAGCTCAGCCCCAGTTCCAGCCTGGGTGGCTTGGAGATCCTTCTGTACAGCCTTGGGTTTTTTTCCTTTTCCGTTCCCTTCAGGGTCTTCCTGTTCCATTTTTACTTCCTGTTGCCCTGCAAATTACAATCAAGGTACACCAACTTCGTTCCTGGCCTCGTGTCGCTTTATTTCTTCCAAAAGGCCTCCCCACAAAGTCTAAGGCAGGGGTAGGCCACCTTGGCTCTTTTATGACTGGTGGACTTCAACTCCCAGAATTCCTGAGCCAGCGTGGCTCAGCTTGGAAACCTCTCCCTTTCCCCTCAGCATGGCTGGCTCAGGAATTCTGGGAGTTGAAGTCCACGAGTCACAATATAGGTAATGGTTTTAGTTGGGAGTGTGTGGTGGAGTTGCAGGCTCTGACTACGTCTTCTGCAGTCCCTGGAACTCCCTCTGATTGAGCCCCCACCTCCACCCCTCCAGTTTTCAATAGTTTCTGAAGAACATACCAAAACTCTAGAGTAGTGCCTCTCAATCTTGGCAACTTTTAAGGGCTGGTGAATTCTGGGAGTTGATGTCCATTCATCTTAAAGTTGACCAGGTTGAAAAACGCTGCTCTAGTGCAACCTGTAAGCAAAGGAAGTCTCCTTCGTGCACCTAAATAAACTAGAAGTAAAAGGAAAAATCCAGTCTGGTGTGGCTGATTTATTCTGCATCGATCAGCCTGAGATTACAGGCAAAGGAACCAGCAAATTATTCCTTGCCCATTTGTAGAGTAGATCAGAGTTCTTGACTAGTCATCTTCCTTTTTATCTTTCCAGTCTAATCTTTCGAAGTTCCCTCCCTTCCAAATAAAATAAACCACCTTTGCTGTGGTTTGTGGGGATCCTGCTGGCTAAGCAAAGCAATGCTCTGGAGATCCACCCCAAATCTTTCCTTGAAGGGACCAGGGCTCTCCCTCTCTTTCTTCTGGATTCCCCTCTTGATCCCAGAGAATGGGGGAAGGGAACATAGAACATAGAATCATAGGGCTCAAAGAAGACCCAAAGGTCTTCTAGTCCAACCCCGTGCTCAAGGCAGGAGATCTTATTATACCATCCGAGTCAAATAGTTATCCGGTTTATTTTTTATTTTTTGAAAATCTCCAGCGATGGGCTAGCTTGGGGCAATGCAGGTCCTACCAATGCAGGAAAGTTGCAGCGAGGCTACCTGTTTTGCAAAGCCTGCTCAAAGCAGGGATGCCCTTCCTTCCCTTTCCGCTAAATCTTCCACTCACCTCCTTCTTGCAACCGTTGCATTGCAGCCTGTTGACCTCCTGCAGCGGTGCTCCTCCCTCTCAAGCTGCCAAAGGGAAATAAATAAATAAAATGCAGAACTGAGCTTCTCACGACTAGTCAAAGAGTGGAGGGCTAGTAAGTAGGAAGGAGTCTGCCTCTGGGCGCCTCTAGCAAGCAGATCTCGGTATAATTAACCCCTTCTGGGCTTCTGGGGGAAGAAACACCTTTGGAGCACGAAGATCACTCATAGAGGGGTTTTTTTTGTGTGTGTGGGGGGGGGGGTTGTGGATTTGGAAGGGAAGGGCAAATAAGCAAAGCTCATCGCGTAGGACAGTGTTTTTCAGCCTTGGCAACTTTTAAGACGGATGGACTTCAACTCCCAGAATTGAATGGCTGGCTGGGGAATTCTGGGAGTTGAAGTTCAACCATCTTAAAATTGCCAAGGATGGAGAAACAGTGTAGGATGGGTAGGCCACCTTGGCTCTTTTATGACTCGTGGACTTCAACTCCCAGAATTCATGAGGCAGCATGGAAACCTCTCCTTTTCCCCTCAGCATGGCTGGCTCAGGAATTCTGGGAGTTGAAGTCCACGAGTCATAAAAGAGCCAAGGTTGCCTACCCCTGGTGTAGGATAACTTTTCCCAAATGCATGCTGGCTGTAGCTCCTATTAATCCCAGCCAGCCCATTGTATGCACTCAGAAATCCAGATCGGGGGTGCAAAAATCCTGGTGTCCATGGGCATTTTCCTGCAAAGCTGCCTTGGCCCACCCCCAGCATGTGGGGAGTGATATGCCCTGTGGCCTTAGCCTGTTGCACGGACAGTGTCAGGAGCAGAGGTGCAGCATTTCTGTAAAATGGAACAAACCGTTCCTGGAACACTGACGACTTTCACCAGGGGAATGTTGGCCATTGTTAAAAGCATTAAAACAAGAAAACTCAAAAGTTAAAAAAAAAAAAAAACCTTGCAAAGATAACAGGTGGGAACAAAGAAAAAGATGAAAAAGGGGTTTCAATCATATTTGTTGTAAAGCGTCTTCAGGACTCTTCGAACACCAGTAGGGTGGGAGCCATTCAAAACTCAAGGGCAACTTAATTTTTAAAAAATGAGGTTATGCATCAGGCTAAACCACAGTCAAACCTCAGGGGTGTAATGGTTACTGGACAAACCATTTATCTGTGGGGTTTGCCTAATGCAGGGGTAGGCAACCTTGGCTTTTATGACTCGTGGACTTCAACTCCCAGAATTCCTGAGCCAGCCATTCTGAGGGGAAAGGGAGAGGTTTCCATGCTGGCTCAGGAATTCTGGGAGTTGAAGTCCACAAGTCATAAAAAAGCCAAGGTTGCCTATCCCTGGCCTAATGCATGGCATCGTAAACTAATTCTGAGGTTAATTCAGTCATCTAGTTAACCAAGTTTTCTATCATAGCCAGAGAGCCATCCTGGCTAAAATCTTATATAAAATCCCCCCCACAAACTGAATGGGATGATAATCTTATTAGCTTGATCAATCTCTCCCATTTTGTGATTAATTTTTAAGGTGAATCATAATATAATAGAGCACAGAGTATCCAAAATTGTGATTGAAAAGATCTAAGGCTACAAAAGAGAGACCATATATTATTAATAAGAAATGAAGTCAGCCTAGAGCAGGGGTAGGCAGCCTTGGCTCTTTTATGACTCGTGGACTTCAACTCCCAGAATTCCTGAGCCAGCCATGCTGAGGGGAAAGGGAGAAGTTTCCATGCTGCCTCATGAATTCTGGGAGTTGAAGTCCACGAGTCATAAAAGAGCCGAGGTTGCCTACCCCTGGCCTAGACCATCCATAAAATACTGCTCCATCTATAAGTAAAAGGATATTTCCAAGATCAATAAGGAACGCATCTTGTGAATCCATTCTTTAATATTACTTTCTAATTGAACAGTATAATTCTTTCCCAAATCTAATAAAGCTGCAATTCTACAATTATCTGGAACCAAAAGAAAAAAACAAAGCCGCAGCTGACCATGATCAATCATAGGAATTAAATTTCTTAGACAAGAAATCTGATACAGTACACAATTTTTATAAGCATTGTCTGAGGTATCCAATAAGAAGACAGCAACATTTTCTGATGGATCCATTTCTGTCTTGAGTAACAATGGGGAAAAAAAACATGGAGCTACCAGAAGCAGGGAGATCTGATAACCCAATAAAAACCTAATGGAAACAGCTCTTGGGTGAAAAAGTTATCACAACAATAGATGAAATTGCGTACCACCTTATAGGAGTCACCTTTCACTCTTCCACTGCAAATCATTCACCACCAGCTTGAGCCAAGATTGTCCCATGAAGACCAAAGACAGGACATGTACCAAGCTTTGGAATGCCAGCAGGCCCCGTTGCTATAGGCAACGCTCAACAGATGCCTAGATGCCATGGTGATGGAGTAGACCAGGGTTTTTCATACTTGGCTTTTATGACTTGTGGACTTCAACTCCCAGAATTCCTCAGCCAGCATGCCTGGCTGAGGAATTCTGGGAGTTGAAGTCCACAAATCATAAAAGGGCCAAGTTTGAAGAACCCTGGAGTAGACGTTTGGGCCTTGGAGAACCGTTAGATACATGTGTCCATGGTCAAATTAATTTGGGTTGGGAGAAAGCTGTTTCTCAAGGAACTGTGTCTGCAAAATCACTTTTGAAAGAAAAAGGAGCTGTGTTCAGGACACAGAGTGAGAAACTTTACAGACCCACATACAGGTCCATCAAATACTATTACTCATTACTCATTTTAGCTTTAAAAATTAACCAGACTTAACTTTAGAGGTGAAATCAAGCAGAAGGTAGGGACTGCTTCTGTATTCACCTTATGGTTTCTTGGCAAATCTAGACAGCATACTAAAAAGCAGAGACATCACCCTGCCAGCAAAAGTACGTATAGTCAAGGCCATGGTTTTCCCAGTTGCAATGTATGGCTGTGAAAGCTGGACCATCAGAAAGGCTGAGCGCCAAAGAATTGAGGCCTTTGAACTATGGTGCTGGAGAAGACTCCTGCGAGTCCCCTGGACTGCAAGGCAATCAAATCGGACAAATCTAGAGGAGATCAACCCGACTGCTCTTTAGAAGGCCAGATCCTGAAGTTGAAACTCAAGTACTTTGGCCACCTAATGAGAAGGAAGGACTCACTGGAGAAGAGCCTAATGCTGGGAAAGATTGAGGGCAATAGAAGAAGGGGACGACAGAGAATGAGGTGGCTGGATGGAGTCACTGAGCTTAAATGAACTCCAGAAGATGGTAGAGGACAGGAAGGCCTGGAGGAATGTTGTCCATGGGGGCACGATGGGGCGGACACGACTTCGCAACTAACAACAACAATTATCTAGTTTATGGACATGACTTTAAATATGAAGTAACCTTTACTAACGTGATTGAATAAATGAAATAGACTAGGGGTATCCAATCTTGGCAATTTTAAGACCTGTGGATTTTAACTCCCCAAATTCTCCAGTCTTAAAGTTGCCAAGGTTGGACACCTCTGAAGTAGACGTTTGTTTTGATAAGCTGTTATCTTAGAAGTTGTCATCAGACATACGGTCTCTGTACATCATAAAAGCTCTCCATACCACCCATAGCACCCAGGCATGCAGCTACTAAAGATTTAAAAAGCTGCACTTTGTGCCATTTCAAATAATTTTTTCCAAGGGTCAATAGCAGACTTCAGAACAACAGCAAAAGTGGTTGCTTTCACAAAAGAAAAATGAAACAGCAACAAATTTTGATCTTGCCTTTAAAAAAACAGAGAAAGCAATACGGAAATAAAATTCCAATGATAACCAATAGATATTGAATATTCTTAGCAGCATCTTTTGGGAAGATATCTTTGTTCATGTAATTATAAATACACTTGTCTTCGCTGAATTTGTAGAACTATGATCAAAGAGACCACACAAAAGCTGTGAAAGGTGACAACTCAGCAACTGAGTTGAAACTGTGAGAATAGAATAGAGCTGGAGGGGACCTTGGAGGTCTTCTAGTCCAGCCCCCCGCTTAAGCAGAACCTACACCATTTCAGGCAGGTGATTATCTAGTCTCTTCTTACAAGTCTCCAGTGATAGAGTGCCCACGATTTCTGGAGACAAGCTGTTCCACTGGTTGATTGTCCTCACTGCAGGAAGTTTCTCCTTAATTCCAGGTTGCTTCTCTCCTTGAACAGTTTCCAACCATTGTTTCTCGTCCTTCCCTCTGGTGCTCTGGTGAACAACCTGACCCCTTCTGCCTTGTGTCAACCCCTCAGATACTGAAACACTGCGATCATGTCTCCCCTATTTCTTCTTTTCTGTAGACTAGCCAAACCCAAGTCCCGCAGCCTTTCTTCATATGTTTTAGCCTCCAGGCCTTTGATCATCTTAGTTGCTCTTCTCTGAATTTTTTCCAAACTCTCAATGTCTTTTTTATGATATGGTGATCAAACTTGGCTGCCGTATTCCAGGTGTGGTCTTAGTAGGGCTTTGTAAAGTGGTACTAGTACTTCGCGTGACCTTGATTCTGTGCCTCTGTTTATACAACACCAGGATTGTATTAGCTTTTTTGGTTGCTGCTGCATACTGCTGGCTCATAGTCAAGTGATTGTCCATTAGGACTGGCACAAGCTGCAGAAACCAATATAAGCTGAAGCTGGAGTCTTCAGAAACAGACCAGCATATAAACCAAATTGATTAATTAAAAAAAGCATTTAGGTGGAAAACAAGCAGAAAGAAAACAGAATTCAACATCAAGGAAACGAAACTTGAAGATTGAAGAAAATCTGAGACTGGCTGAGATAAAACCAAAGAATCAGAGCCAATGACTACCAACAGCCCTCAACTTATGACTGTAATTAAGCCTTGGATTATGATTACAAGTTATTGCAGTTGTTAAGCAGGTCACCACGTGACTGGGCCTGGTCTTATGACATTTTTTGTGACAGTTGTTAAGCAAAGGCCACAGTTGTTAAGTGAATACTGCTTAAATAATAATGGTTGTTTTATATATATATATATATATATATATATATATATATATATATATATATATATATATATATATATATATATAATCATTTGAGCAACAAAGATGATCAGGGACTGGAGGCGAAAACATATAAGGAACGGTTGCTGGAATTGGGTATGTCTAGTTTAACAAAGAAAAGGACGAAGGGGGACATGACAGCAGTGTTCCAATATCTCAGGGGCTACCATAAAGAAGAGGGAGTCAAGCTATTCTCCAAAGCACCTGAAGGCAGGACAAGAAGCAACGGATGGAAACTAATCAAGGAGAGAAGCAACCTAGAACTAAGGAGAAACTTCCTGACAGTTAAAACAATTAATCAGTGGAACAACCTGCCTCCAGAAGCAGTGAAAGTTCCAACACTAGAAGTTTTTAAGAAGAGACTGGACAGCCATTTGTCCGAAATGGTATAAGGTTTCCTGACTGAGCAGGGGGTTGGACTAGATGACCTCCAAGGTCCCTTCCAACTTTATTATTATTATTATATACCTCAGTGAATCACTGTGACTGTGTGAACACCGGTTGTTAAAGCAAACATAACAGAAGTGGATACCCATTGTTCATTATAAATGCAGTTTTGGTAAAAAAAAACAGAAGTGCCAGTTTTTGGCAAATCGGTTGTAAAACAGTCACACGGCCATATGACACAGCAAAGGGCTGTAAATCTGTCCTTGTTGCCCAACGCCCAAAGTACGGTCACGTGATGCCAACGGGATACCCAATCCTCCAAATGTTTGATCTTCTTCAGGTAGGCCGTAGCGTCCAACGGTCACTAAACATCATAAATCGTGGAATAGCTCCACATCAAAAGGGCTGAGCTTTGATTCCACGGGTATGGCCATCTGGGCCTTTTTTTGACTGACGTACACGTCACCACCACCCCTAAATGTCCTCTGACACAAGAATCTTTTCTTTTTTAAGGGACAGGAAGTGTAACATTCAGGAAGGAGATGGGTGGAAGAAGGTCGAGGTCAACGTTTTCCTCCCAAGATCAAATTCAACCGTTTTTCACATTCTGAGCATTTCCCTGGGGTTTGCCCAGAAAGCTTTTTCAAAGGGGCAATGAGGTTAGGCTTCCTGATTACATTTCGCCCGCAGTCCAGACATTGGCTTGGTTGAACTTTGGTGTGGACACTCTGATGCATCCTAAGGTGAGAGCTGTTTTTGAACGTTTTGCTGCAGAGCGGGCATTCAAATCTCTTTCCTTTCAATTGCATTTGCGCATGTTCAAGATCCAAACTCAGAGACGGTCCCTGGGTGCACTCAGGACACTTTGAGACCTTTTCCGCCTGGTCCCCATGCTGTCCGAAACCTTTCCCGTGCTCTAACCACCTTGCAACATCTTCTCCCACGTGGACCTTCTGATGCCGCAAAAGGACCGAGCTGAAGAAGAAACTTTTCCCACAATCCGTACACACGTAGGGCCTCTGCCCTGTGTGGATCCTCACGTGCACCAGAAGGCTGGATCTCTTGTCAAACGTTCTCCCGCAATCAGAACACAGGTAGGGTTTCTCTCCCGTGTGAATCCTCTTGTGTGACAGGAGATGTGAACTCCACCGGAAACTTTTATCACAATGAGAGCAACGGTAGGGTTTCTCTCCCCTGTGAGTCCTCTCATGAGATTTGAGATCCGAGATGCTTCGGAAGTTTTTTCCACACACTAAGCACTTGTGTGGCTTTTCTCCAGTATGGATTCTCTCATGAGCTATCAGACTGTGTCTCTGGCTAAAGCTTTTCGTACAATGGGAACATTTGTGCGGCTTCTCTCCTGTGTGGACTTTCTGATGCGCAAGGCGCTGCAAACTGTTCCGAAACTTTTTCCCACAGGCCGAGCACTCAAACAGCTTCTCTTGGTGAGTCTGCACATGCGCCAAGAGCTCAGAGCTGCGTTCAAATATTTTCCCGCAGGCAAAACAAGCCAACAAATCTTCCTCCAGGTGAGTCTTCTTGTGTTCCAACAGCTCCGATTTCTGACTGAAACTTTTTCCGCAGTGGGAGCATAGAGTTGTGTGAATTCTCTCGTGCGACAGGAAGTGCGAGCGCCGGCTGAAACACTTCCCACAGTACAAACACACATACGGTTTCTCACCAGTGTGGATTCTCTGGTGCACTATGAGACTCGACTCATTTCGGAAGTTTTCGCCGCACACAGAGCATTTGTAAGGCTTCTCACCCGGGTGGGTTCTTTGGTGTTTCAAAAGATCGGATTTCTGACTACAACTTTCCCCACACTCGGCACACACGTAAGGCTTCTCCTCCGCGGAGATCTCCTCGTGAGCATGACTGTCAAACGTCTGCCCGCAATGAGAGCATTTGTGGGGCTTCTGGCCTTTGTGGATCCTCTCACTTTCTCCACAGTGAGAACATTTGTAGAGTTTCTCACCAACGTGGGTCCTTTCGTGGGTCAGCAGATGGGAGCTGTTACCAAAGTTTTTACCACAATGCCAACATCGGAACAGCTTCTCTTCTGCATCGGGGCTTTCAGTTGTTGTAATCTGTGAGCTTTGTTGCGCCCCTTCCCCACTCCCCTTATTATTTATCTCCTCCTCCTCTTGGACAGCAGGGCCTCTGAATCCTGGGCAAACACTTTGGGGCTGAACTAACTGGCCCACTCCCTTCCTAACATCACTTCCATTCTGCCTAGGTGCCGCGTCATGGCTTCCATTGTTCTCTTTGAAAACCGGCAGATCGCTCTCAATGGCAGCTTTCAAGAACATCCTTAGAGGCTCCCTTCTCTCAGAATTCATCAGCTTTGATTCGCCATCTTCATTCAGCCACCCGATGCCTGCTAAAAGAAAGGAAGGAAACTGGACATTGACCGGAAAGTATTGTATTAACATGCTTTCTTGTGTGACCATCAGTTAGACAGCTTGCTTGCTTTTACAAAACAAGTTAATATCCTCACAAAATAGGCCATCCTTTTGCCCAGTGATCTACCCTGATGATGTTACCTAGCTTGGTGATGAAATGTCTGCAAGAAAACAACCAAGCTCAAAGAGCACCAGGGAACACAATGATTGTGACTAGCTATACCTATCTCCCACTAACTCTTTGCCAGCCACAAATTTTGAATATATATAAAATTTGTGGCTGGCAAAGAGTTAGTGGGAGACTAGTATAGCTATTTCAGGCTCATTAGCCTTCATTAGCTAGTCACACCCTTCAGGGATTCGAACTTGGGCAGCTTGCATGTGAAGCAACTGTATTACTATATTAGCCTTTTGAGCCACAGGTTCCCCCTTACTCCTGTCAGCAGAAACCAGGGAGGATATATATCTTATCTGTTGGGTGAGGCACCCGGTCCACCAAATATAAATCAGTCTGTTCTGCGTTTCGCTCCAATCTAGGAGCATGTTTTGCAGGCAGACGTCACATACTGTGAGCACTATAAATTCAAAATTTGTGGCTGGCAAAGAGTTAGTGGGAGACTAGTATAGCTATTTCAGGATCATTAGCCCTCATCAGCTAGTCACACCCTTCAGGAATTCGAACCTGGGCAGCTTGCATGTTAGGCAGCTGTATTACCCAACAGATAAGATATATATCCTCTCTGGTTTCTGCTGACAGGAGTAAGGGGGAACCTGTGGTTCAAAAGGGTAATACAACTGCCTAACATGCAAGCTGCCCAGGTTCGAATCCCTGAAGGGTGTGACTAGCTAATGAGGGCTAATGAGCCTGAAATAGTCTCCCACTAACTCTTTTGATTGTGCAGAAAAGGCTTGATGGGTTGATATTTGGATTGAAGTACTGGGTGGAAAGGTTCAAGTGTCCACTGTGGCAGGGGTCTGATCACCAGCCGTGGCAACTTTAGGACTTGTGGACTTCAATTCCCAGAATTATTCAGCAGCATGGCTGGCTGAGGAATTCTGGGAGTTGAGGTCCACAAGTCCTAAAGTTGCAAAGGTTGGAGACCCCTGCACTATGGGATGAAAATCACTGCATGGATTTCTATCGCTTACTTTCAAACTGACTTATCTTGAATGAAAATGAACAGAATGAAGAATATATTATTGTTAGTAATTTAATTATTGTATTAGTATTTATGTAGATATAGTAGTGGCCAAAATTGTGGAAACCTTTGGGGAAAAGTGTACAGTAGAAGTGCCATCCTTGGTTAAGTTTCCACCAATTTTCCTTCTAATTTCTTTATAACGGTAGCCTTGTTCACTTAATAATACTATTTTACATTGCTTTCTGGGCAACCAGATAACTCTTTGCACCGTTACTTTAATTTTATTACGTTTTACAAGCTCACTAAAAAGAACACACAAAAAAACCCAACCAACTTGATAACATGCCGACAAATGTCCTCCACTCAGCTTCAATACATGACATCAATAACTGAATCCTAGTGATCTAATTGGCTCATTGCCAAAACAAGATGACACCTGATTGGCTCTCTAAACACTTGTGCTCATTGGCTATAATCAGATGAAGGAAAGCTACCTGATATCAACCTAAGCAAGTTGTACTTCCTTTTTCTGGTTATTTGGCTATAACTTTTCAGAGAATACAATGCAGGTAACCATGGTATCCGCAGCAGAACATCCAGATTCAGCCATAGTTTCGTTCCATACAGCATTAACCTTGTGAACTCTCAAGCTTCCTCCTTCCGTTATATATTCAAGATGGACAGTATTTAATATTTATTTGTTATGTATATGTAGGGGTGTGGGTCTAAATATATGTTGTATATAGTATGTTTTAGGTGTGTGTCATGTATGTGTTTCACTTTGAGAGCAGGCAACTAAATTTCATTTTTGATGTGTGCTGTTCTGCCCATGGTAAAAAAAAATGACAATAAAGATTATCTTATCTTATCTTATCTTATCTAACAAACTATGTTACATTACATTCTTTATTAAATTATCTTTCCATTGATATATAATTTTATGGTACTACTCCAAAAAAAGGGGTGTTATTAGCCATCAAACCTCAAAAATACACTTTTCCCAAAAGGTTTCCACAATTTTGGCCACTACTGTATGTGCTGAGTTTATGGGTGTTTTAGAATTACGCTGTTTATTGGGATCTCTGATGGTTTATTAAGTTACACCAGAGATGTTTTGATTGTTGCCATGAGTCAGCTTGGATTTGAAGGCACACGGGTTTAGCAAATGAATACATAAAATGCATCACAGACGTGGCCAACATTTGCTCTTTGTTCTGCTTTCTTGCAATTCAGGGAAAAGCCTGAACGATCTGTCTCCAAGAGCCAGAAAGCAAAAGAGATTTATTTATTCATTATTCAATTTATATGCTAGCCCAGTGGTGGCGAACCTATGGCATGGGTGCCAGAGGTGGCACTCGGAGCCCACTCTCTGGGCACATGTGCCGTTGCCCCAGCCTTGGCTCCCCCCACGACCCCCTCCTCTCCAGCAGCCCCCCTGAAGGAGACTCACCCTCGAGCGTGGCCCACATGGAGCAGCGCAGCCAAGGACATGGCAGCCAGGCAGCTTAGACAAGACTCTGCCCTCACACCCCATCGTGCACAGTTGATGCTGCAGGGCGCGGGCAGAGGGTGTGGCCGCCATGGTGTTGCTGGGCTGCCTGGGCGATCTGCGGCGGGCCCTGGAGGCAGTGAGTGGTTCTTTGGGCAGGCGGGGCGGGGGATGGAGGGGCAGAGCGGGGGCGGGCAGGGGGGGTGGAGTGGGGGCGGGGCCAGTTTTTGGGCACTCGGTCTCTAAAAGGTTCACCATCACTGTGCTAGCCAATTCTTAAGAACTTACTCAAGTTTTGGCTGCCGTCACTCTCTGGTTTACTCATTCTGAAATCCTCGTCCTTTGGTGGTTCTGACAGAAGCTGGTTCGACTTGAGCATTTTCCCAATATCTTCTTCTGACATCTCTGTCATCTGGAAAAGAGGGGGGGGGGGAGGAACAGTTCCAAGTGAATTCATGCTGAAGTCAAAATGTGCAGTGGGTGACCAAGCCATTATTTATGTATTTATTTGTATGCCAGCTTTATTATTTTTAGACTATAACCCAAGGCAGCAAACATATCCAACCCATCCTTCTCCTCCTATTGTCTCCGCAACAACAACCCTGTGAGGTGGGTTGGAGAGAGAGAGAAAGAGAGAGAGAGGGGGGAGGGAGAGAGGGAGAGAGGGAGGGAGAGAGAGAGAGAGAGAGAGAGAGAGAGAATATCACCCCAGCTGGTTGCCGGCCTGGTGACTTAACCACTAAAACATTATTTACTGATTAGAGCAGGGTCTTCAAACTTGGCTCTTTTATGACTTGTGGGCTTCAACTCCCAGAATTCCTCAGCCAGACACGCTGACTGAGGAATTCTGGGAGTTGAAGTCCACAAATCATAAAAGGGCCAAGTCTGAAGGCCCCGACAGTTCTCTATTCTTCGGGGGGAGGAGGGGGGGTTAAAGAGGATTTCTGAGCAATTCATTCGGATTTTTTTTTTAAATGAGCACTGGAACCTGATAAACTAGTTTGGGAGTCTTAGCTGTATTTATTTAAATATATTTATTTAGTTGCTACCTTGTCAGAATTCAAAGATTCCTGCAGTCTAAAGCAATAAAAGCATAACATAGTACAGATAAAAAAGACAATAAAATCATATATATATATGTATATATATAAAGTTTGGCCGCCCCCAGGGCATCTTCAGGCTACTGGGAATCAGTAATTTTCGTTTATTTCAAACCTTTATTTTCAGATTTCCTTGTGCAGAAATGTTTCTTTCCTGGATACCGTGCAGTGATTTCTTATGCAGCTCCTAAAAATAATCATTTTAATATTTAAAAGGCAGACTCCCGTCTATTCAACAGGACAGATTATATCTTCAATGTATCATTTTTATTTCTTTGTATGCTATCTCTACCTCATAAAGGAATTATACTATTCTTGCTCATATATACTATATGAGCAAACTCCAATGAGATTTAATCTTGTAAGATTTTATAGGCAGATTTTTTTATTTTTTATTTTTTGGGGCTTCCAAGGGTGCCTTTTAGCAGTATCCCAGATGCCTGGATACCCACAAATGCATTGCCTGCAAATTTTCCGTGAGATTCTCTCCTTGAGCCAGCCAGTGTGTGTGCCTTTAGAGTCAGTCTTGACTCTGGGCAACTACAGGATCAAGTCCACAAAGTTTTCTTGGTAGCATTTTTTTTCAACCAGCTTTAAGAACTTACTGCATTCTCTTTAGGTGACCCCAAAACACCCAGCTAGCTTTGCGCTTTAGGCAGGACTAGATCCCACAATCTTCTAATTTGTAGCCTGGTGCCTTTAACCAAGCACCAAACTGGCTTTCCAGCGCCCATATTTTCATCTCCATCCTTGAGCAGTTGTCCCCTAATCCAGGGGTCAACAACCCCCGGTCTGTGGACTGATATCGGGTCGCAGCATGCCAACAACCGGGCCGCATAAACAAGCAAACCCCATCTGCAGGATGCAGGCAGCACACAAAACCACGCCCCCTCTGGTCCACGGAAAAACTTCTCTCCACAGAACCGGTCCCTGGTGCCCAAAAGGTTGGGGATCTCTGCCCTAATCCCTTGTCCTCATCAAAGGAACTGTGTCACGACAGATGGAAGATACTGGTGAGCAGGCATGTATTTTTTTTATTAAGATTGGGGAGTACCTAATTTATATTGTGTGGTTGTAAACCCCAAAATAGCAATGTTCCCAACTGCAAATACCCTCACCTGCCGTTCCCATGTCTGGGCCTCTTGTCTCTTTAAGAGGAACTCCTCTGACAAGGACACTGCATGAGCACAAGTCTCTGGGCCATATTTCCTGAGCCAATTCTGCATATCCAGAGGCAAGGCAAACAGAAACTGCTCCAAGGTCACCAGGTCCAGGATCTGCTCCTTGGTGCGTTTCTCTGGTTTCAACCACTCACGACAAAGCTCTTGAAGCTGCTGGCAAAAGTCTCGAGGTCCCTTGGCCTCTTCGTAGCTCAGGGTCCGGAAGGGATGGCATCTTGTCTCCACCCTGATGGCTTCTTCAGCCAGATCTCCAATCTTCTCCTTCCCACCATGGGCAACATCCAGAAGGGTGTCCCAATCGTCTTGGGTTGTCCCAACGAGATGAGTCTCGATCTGGGAAATCCACATTTCTTCCGACCATTTGCTGGTATCCATTCCTCCTTGAGAGGACATCCGAGACAATTTAGGACCATTCCAGAGCTTTGGCTCCAGGAACTGTGAACCTTCTCTTCTTCCCTGAGGACCCTGCAGTGTCTTCAGAAACTCTTGCAACTGGGCATCCCAGTTCTTTGATGGATTTTCCTCTGGCTCTTCTTTCACGTTATGTTTTGGTTCTTCCTTGCTTTTCCCAAAGTTTAGAAAATGTGTTCTTCCCTCTCCTGGCTTGGGGTCAACGGAGTCTTGTTCTTCTGTTTTTACTTCAGGATTCATATTGTGATGTAGCAGAGATCCGGAAGCCTCTACCTCTTGCACAGTTGACATTCTGTCCTTCAAGGACTGGCCTGTTCTATCGTTGTCTTTATTAGCAGCATTCCTCACTGTGGCATTATGCAACAGATTTGAAGCATTCAATGAAACTTATTCACCAATTGAAGCATCAGCATTTTCCACCTTTTTGAAAATGGCACAAGTGTGCTTTCCACTGAGAAGTACTAGATAGGAAATAAGAAAGAAAAGGCACTGGAACGAAAGCTGTTTTTCTGGAGACTTTTTTTTTTTTTTACAAATGCAATGTTTACTAATAGGCTTAAAAGGAGATGGGGAGTACTGGATTTATTCTAAGGAACCACATTTCTCATTCATACAACAATGATTCCAGGAGGCACAAAGCCATTTTACTCCTCAATTTTTATGAATTATCCAACTATGCTCATCAATCCTAATGATAGGATACTCATTCCTGACCTAAGTTATATTGTCACCTAACAGCAAATAAGGATTATTGGACTGAACAGTCTCAATGGACTGATTCACATGTAACACTAAATCCTCATGGGGCATTCTTGCTTCATCCCAAGCAATAAAATGGTTTAGTGAAAGCATGAAACCCAGTCAAACAGCCACCTGCAAAAGCCCGAAATCTAAGTGCAATTCAACTGCAAACCATAGACATGGATTACATTAAGCCAGGGCAAACTTCACATTCTAATTTTGGGCAGGTCCTCCTCTTTTAAGGCACAGCAATGTGCTTCCCGTTAATTTGCATCTCACGCATATGCAAATGATCATCCATGCAATGTACATGCGTCTCACATGAAGCGTCTCATATGAAGACTATCCAATCGTGAGGATATTGTACAAAAGAACTTGCTAGGACTGCTAATGGTATACCCCAAGGGACAAAAGTGCAAAATTTAAAAGAAGACACACCACCCAAACAAACGTAGAAGAAATAGGATCCAGTGCACACCCCCAGCCAACGTGGCTGATATGCAGAGGGAACAAAAATTCCAGGCAGAAAATTATCCCTATCCTCTTTGTGCCCCACCCTCACCCCCCACCCCACTATAAAAATCTAGAAAGAAAACATTAAATCATCGTCCTTTCAGGATGCAGACAGCCCTAATAAAGCATCTAATTTCATTCGCCGGGGTCTCTTATAGGAGACCCCAATAAAACAGCCTTTGAAAACATTATCTGACACTGCTGTAGCCCCTTCCTCCCTGCGGCTTTTTAAAATGACCTGTTTTTTGTATTGCGCTCCTTAAAAATTTGCAAATTCACGGATCTCTCCAGGCTTACAACGTGCAGCAAGATGATTCCCCGGCACAAACAGAATGGAACTTTCCTTTGGATACAGGCTTGCGTCTCTCTAGGCTTTACAAATTCTATTGCATTAACCCTTCCTAGCAATGTTCCTTAGTTGTGGGCATACCAGGGTAGTAAGCCTGCCCTACACAATCAAGGTATTAGAAGGTACTCCTTGATTAATCTACGGCCTCAAATGATCCCAAAATTTCTGTTACTAAGCAAGAGAGTTGTTCGGCGAGTTTTACTCCATTTTGCGACCTTTCTGGCCACAGTTGTTAAGTTAATTTACTGCAGTTGTTAAATTAGTAACGGGGTTGTTAAAAGAATCTGGCTTTCCCCATTGACTTTGCTTGTCAAAAGGTTGCAAATGTGATACTAGGACTCTAGGACACTGCAACTGTCATAAATACAGGCCAGTTGCCAAGCCTCTGAAGTTTGATCACGTGAGCATGGGGATGCTGCAGTGGTCGTAAGTGTGGAAAAAGTCACAATTCATTTTTTTTTCATCGCTGTTATAACTTTGAACAGTCCCTAAATGAATGGTTGTAAGTTGAGGACTGCCTGTATTCAGGTTAAGGACTACTGTACTTGTTCGAGGACTGTTTAAAACTATGAAGTTTATTTTCATCATGATGGCCTAAACCAGTGGTTTTTAACCTTTTTGAACAAATCGCCCCCTTGAGCCAATAAGGAAGTTGTCATCACCCCCCTCCCCCAACATAACCTCTCAATCACAACATAGGAAATGATTCTTCAATTTATGCACTTTTTTTGTTTTCTTTAAAATTGCCATCAGGACATATCGATGCAAATAATTTATTTCCAGTCTTTTTCCCATATCTCCCATATTCTGGCCAATGGCGCGCCACTGTATGGGTAGAGGCTGCTGCGCAACACGCATGAAGATAAGCGATGCGTCTTCACATATGTACAGCGTGCTATACTGAAGCTAGCTGGAGGAACATTTGAAAACACAATTCAATCCACTAATAGCGAGTGATCTGATGTTTTTTATGACAGATATACAGCGATTCACTGTACGAAAAAGTCTCAAAAGTTTCCCCAAAACTTCTTGCTCCATCGCCCCCATATCGCCCCCTTTTTGTTCGCCCCCACGTTGCCCCTTTTCGTTCCATCACCCCCGTGAAAAACGAAATTGCCCCCTGGGGGGCAATATCACCCAGGTTAAGAACCACTGGCCTAAACCAGGGATAGGCAACCTTGGCTTTTTTATGACTCGTGGACTTCAACTCCCAGAATTCCTGAACCAGCCATGCTGAGGGGAAAGGAAGAGGTTTCCAAGCTGAGCCATAGCTGGCTCAGGAATTCTGGGAGTTGAAGTCCACGAGTCATAAAAGAGCCAAGATTGCCTATCCCTGGCCCAAACATTTTAGGTCACTTTAAAAGAAAAGAATCGAGTTTGCTTAAAACTGCAAGTTAATAATTTCCCTCTCCCTCCCCAATTAGAACGTGCAGTTTAATAATAGCGATGGCAATAAAACTATCCCCTAAAGCACTGTTGTTTTTTTTGTTGTTTTTTTTTAAAAAACGTGGCCACTTTAAGATGTGTGGACTCCAACTCCCAGCATTTCCCGGTCATCGTGCTCTCAAAACACTTCCGCTAGCCCGTTTCAATGGTAATGAAAGAGTTTAAGCCATAGAGCTGACCCTCCTAGAGTGGCATCATAGATGGCCGAGGGAAGCTCCTTCCTGTTTGCCGCTGAGCCCGCGAGTCGCTCCCGTGGAGGGCCGAAGAAGAAAGGGCAGGTAAAGGAAGCGAGTCGGCGGGTTGTGGGGAACGGCTACACGCGTCCCCGCCGTCGTAAGTAGGCCTGCGAGAGAGCTGGGCTACGGAAATGAAGAGTAGGGTGGTTTCGCATCTCTTTGCCGCCGTGCAAGTTTCAAGGCTGGTTCCGGGCAAGCCCAATAGGATACTAATTATTGTTTTCCCACCAATTTCACCCATTAGATACAGCTAAACATTTTAAACTCCAGTTTTGCGTTTCCCACCGGCCTTGTCTGACAAACTCCTCTTTTTTGGTATGGCAAAGGAATGTGAGCCATAATGCATAATTCAGAGATCTCAATAGACAATAAGTCCTCTTTTGTTTTTTCCCCAGCTCTCTCTTCCATAAAAGCTTTTTGTGCAGGGACATAACGGGTGAAAATTAGCATTTTTTAATCATTCAACCCCAGGATCCTAGGAAGGCAGGTTCAGCTACTGGGTATTTTTTTTTTTTTTTTTTTGCTTTGTTATCTTGATCTGGGAAACCAGAGGTGAAACACTTTGCTGGCGGGAGGGGAGGGGATCTTGGCTGTCAAGTATCCTCCAAACTATAAAATAATGAGTGTGCTGGTTGGGAAAAGGAAAAAAAGAGAGGGGGTTCCTTTAACACTTTCCAGATAGGAAATTAAGATGATCTCTTCCTGTAATGAATATAATAGAATAGATCTTTGCTGTGTGGGAAGTCACCCTCCACCCCAGAAGGAAATATTAAAAGGGCAGAAAAGTATATTTTCTCAAAGGAATTTAAAGAGGCAGGAAAGGATGCCCAGTTTTTCTTAATAGCCCTAGGTCTCCCTCCTCCAAGCAGGGACCAGCTCTATAGAGATGCAGATGTAAATCCAGGGAGCTAGAAGCTTAGGACAGTTATGGCGAACCTTTTAGAAACCGAGTGCCCAAACCGCAACCCCAAACCCACTTATTTATCGCAAAGTGCCAGGATCGCATCAGCATTGTGGTGCCCTGGGGGGGGGGGCAGGGAGGCATCTCTGAGTGCCATCTCTGACATGCAAAAACTGGTGGCAAAAAAATGGGCCACCGTGCTGCAAAAAAGTGGCCACCACCACGCCACGGGGTGCAGATACAAGGCACTGCACCACGTAAAAACGGGGCAGGGTTAGTGGGTATCACGCAGGCACTAGCCCCGACCCATTTGTAGCACGTGCGTGCTCACGGCCCCATGCGCGTATGCACACATGTAAAATGCTTCTCCCTCCCTTTTCTTCCGGTCCACCAGTCAACAGTGGTTGGTGACCTCTGCTCTACCACCTCTACTCGAGCTTGCTAGTCGGCCGCTTCGCCTCCTTTGTGCTGGGTGGGGCTCCTGCTCCAGGCGGCGGGGGCAGCCTGATGGACCTGCTGCTGGCAGCGGTGACGCACGTGCCAACAGAGAGGGCTCTGAGTTCTGCCTCTGGCACGCGTGCCATAGGTTCACCACCACTGGCTTAGGAAGACAAAGACACCTAAAATCTGCATACCTCACCCAAACTCTAGGAGTCATTAGCTCCAGCACCAGGGAAGCAGGATATGACCTTTGGGACATAATAGGATTAACCCATCAGAATGCCAAAAAAGAACACTCAGACTCAGGTCAAAGTTCATGCCACAGGAACAGGAAGCAACTCCAAATAAAAGGTCCAGAGGGTATAAAAACCACTCCCCCCATGTGTGCTCAGCCCTTTTTTTCTCTCTCCTCTTTCCTGCCAGAACCATCTTTCTGTCTGGCTCCAATAAACTGCAACCTTCTTTCTAAAGCAGTCGCTATGTTGTTTATCCCCGGCTTGGACTGGACCACAATGAAGACTTTTTCTTTCAACAGCTGTATCTAATAACAGTGTTTCTCAACCTTAACTTTCAGGCTTCTGGACTTCAATTCCCAGAATTCACTCAACTTTTAGGCTTCTGGACTTCAATTCCCAGAATTCCCCAGCCATCATGCCTGAGAAGCATATGCTTAATAGAATGTTCCATTAGAGGTGTCACTCAAGCTGCAGTTCAATGTTCCTCGACTGCAGGAATGTAAAGCCCCTAAAATTCTCCAGCCTGCCTGCTGTGGTTGAGAAACATTGAAGTATATAATATAAATGAAGGCAAATCTCTGAACTCCATTTTTCACTCCCAAGCCCCAATCCTGCTACTTCCAAGTATATAAGGCAGTGTTTCTCAACTTTGACAATTTTAAGGCATGTGGACTTCAACTCCCAGAATTCCACAGCCAGCAATGCTGGCTGTGGAATTCTGGGAGTTGAAGTCCACGTGCCTTAAAATTGTCAAGGTTGAGAAACACTGATATAAGGCATCCAGCAGCACCATCTCTTCATAAGAGATCCCCAGAGGTTTTAGAAGGTGGAGTGGCTTCCAATTCTTGAATAATTACAACAAAAAGGTTTGTGTCTTTATGTATTTGCTTGTCATGGTTGGAATATCTTTTAGTCCTGTCATTTTCTATTTTTCAGTGTTACCTCAAAGACGGCAATTAGAAATTCTTGATGCTTCGCTGCTTTCCTTCCAAGCAGTTTTGTTGAACGATTCTTTTAGGCTGTTGATAACTGGACGGATCTCAGAAGACTTCTGCAGTGGTTCTCGAGGGTTGATGCTGAGAAAGAGCAACAAAACAATAAAACAAAGCTAGTTTCTGGGGAGGAAATGGCCGTCGCACATAAAACAGAGGCAACCAAAGGTCTCCTGAAAGAAAATGTAGATCCAGAAATAAAAATGGAAGCGCAGTGTTCGTCAGGCCCTCAGTCTGGAGAAGGAAGGAGAAGGGAAGATTTCCCAGAAACTGGGAAGATTAAGCAGGAGTTTATCCATCATGTGAAACAAGAGCCAGAAGAAGGGCCATCTGGGAATTGGGACGCCCAACTGCAAGAGTTTCTGAAGACGCTGCAGGCTCCCGATTCTGGTGGAGAAAGCCCTTCAGCGGCCTGGAATGACTCTAAAGCCACTCAGGTGCTCTCTCAGAGGAGGAGGGATGCCAGCAACTGTCCCAGAGGAGTTTGGATGGCTCAGGCCCAGCCACATCTGGCCCCTGAAGCCCAGCGGGACTATGACAGTTCTTGGGAGGTTGCCTCCAGTGGGAAAGGGCCGAAGGGGGTGGTGAGCGGGCCTGGAGCCAGGCTGGAGAAACAGCGCCAGCAATTCCGGGAGCTGTCTTACGAAGAAGCCGAGGGCCCTCGCGAACTCTGCAAGCATCTCCAAGAACTTTGCCACGAGTGGCTGAAGCCGGAGAAACACACCAAGGATCAGATCCTGGATTTGGTGACA